TGTGTGTGTGTGTGTGTGTGTGTGTGTGTGTGTGTGTGCGTGTGTGTGTGTGTGTGTGTCCATTTCTCTTTTTCCCTCCTGTTCAACTTCTCTTTGTGTACATCCCACCCCTTTACGAGCATTGGCTGGGGGGGAGGGTTTGTGGCAAGCTGCGTGCCGCTCAGAGTGTAAATCCTGTTTGAGGTCCTAGTATTGCGTTGTACGGAGGCCCACTTCTAACGATTTGTTCTATGCGCGTATTTCATCGATGATTGGACAAGTTCAGAAGATGGAGCTCGGGGGGGTTGAAGCTATTGGCTACTTCATCTTACTCCTGTTTTCATCTTGTGTGTGTTAGCTTCTATCAATGAATTGCAGTGCTGGGTCTGGGTCTGTGGTGGATGGTCCTACGTGTGTGGGTATGTGTAATGTACAGGTGTAAATTGATGCTGGATTTCTGCATCTATTTCACTGCTTGATTCCAACTGATGTTTCTTGGTTTGTGTGTGAACTCTTGTGTGTGTGCGTGTGCAGATTGTCCTTAAACTGGCAATGTCATACCGAGACTTCTTTGAGAGACTGTTCATCTTCAATGTGGCAGCGCTGCTCCGGATTAATCCATCACGACTCAAAGTCGTGACTTCAAGCCCTGGGTCAACCATTGTGAGGATGAGGATTGAGCCATCAGAAGCGGAGCTTAATGGTCCCTTACCTGACGTTGCACCGATAAATAATCCTGAGGGGGATGTGGATGCTCCATTTCCAACGCCTGGGTCTGTGCTTCCCCCATCTCCTCCTCCAGCACCACCTCCCCCTCCTGCACCCTACCCTCCAGCTCGCACGGAAACAGGTGAACTCATCGAGAAGTCGCTGGACGTTATCATGAGGGACCTGCAGACTGCAGTAGCGGACGGATCCTTTGCTGGCCAATTGGGCGTTCCACTGGTAGCCATGAACATCACTTATGAATCCTCCCAAGGACCTGTGGATGTCCCACTTGTGCCGGAGCTTCACGATACAGGTTTGTACCCCTCCAAGCTACCAACTTCAAGAACTGAGACGAAGCTATTTCAAAATCAAAAGGCTACAATATGCATCACCAGAAAGCAAGAACAGGTCTTTGCAGGCTTCGCTGCATTTTTCATTTACCTTAAACCGCCAGTTCACATGAGCCTAAGATTATGAAGCTACTTTCCAAGGCTCGTGAGCCTGCAACTGTGCCTTTTCAAAGTGGCCTGCCACTTTGTCTACCGGCCCAGCCCCGAATTGAAATGCTCCCACATAAACCGGTAAGAGCGGTACTCTGCTTTGAGTGAACTGGCGGTTAAAGAAAAGAGAAAAGAAAACAGGGCCTTATGGTGCTGGCTCCTTTCTTTCTTTATTTCTTTCTTTTCAAAAAAAAAAACAACAGAACCTTATGGTTCCAGCTCCATGTCCAGTCTGGAGAGCAACAGTCCGTTTCCTATTGCACTGGCAAGTCAAAAAGAATACATTTTCTACTCACCCAGCGCTCCTCCCCATTATGGTTTCAAGGCCCAAGTGGACGGCATTGATTACTTTCTATAGGAAGGATGTTCACCCCTGCCTTATGTAGCCTCATTGACATAGCCATGGAGGTGGACAACTTCTAGGAGCGTGAGTTCTGGCTGTCCTCGGCCCCGCTCCCTGCTTGTCCCTAGACCCTTATCCCACCGGGGGCGTCATCCGTGAAGTCTTCCCCAGCACTGCACAGTGCTCGTCACCCCAGGTACCCGGGGGTATAGGTCGTCCTAGCTGTATGAAAGCACGTCCCAATGCGGCCAACCGGCCGGGGTGGATAACCATATGATGTTCCATGAAACAACGCCCATTGTAATCCATTGAACCTTCTTCTAGGCAACTGACGCGTCTACTCCAAGGTGAGGCTCACGCTGCTGGCTGCGATGTCGTCCGGTTGTGAGCGGGCTTCTTCCAGCGGGGTCGCGTCTCTACCTCCCTGTGCTGCAAGCCTCCACACGCATCTGAGCAGGTTACATTCCACAGTTTCCCGTCCAGGGTATCTTTGGCAAACTTGGTCTTGATCTCTTGCTTCTTTTCAGGATCCCGTTTGATCGGCTGCCTTGCTTTGTACCAGTCGGTTTGGTACTCGGCAGGTACTTGCTGCAGGTCTATGGTTTCCTTGCACCTCCTTTCCCAAACTACTCTAAGTGTCAGCAGACGGAGTCTTCTGTAAAACTTGAGTGCCCATTTCTCCGTTCCTGTAGGTTCCTTGAAGCCTGTAAGCAATGCCAGTGTGTTGTCTCCGAGGTCTCTTCCCGTGGCCCTATGCCACAGTTGCCTGGCGTGCTGCCAGGTTGAGCCTTCGGACACTGCAGCAGGCAGTGGGTGATGTCTTCTAGTACACCACCGTCGCAGATCGTACAGCACTCGTTAAAGGCTCAACTGTTGGCCTTTGCCCTACGCTTGCTCAACCACAGGTTGACTGGCAGGGCCTGGTATGTGATGAGCCATTTCATGCTTCTGACCCTGGTGTTGTGGATTGCCAGGATTGCACAACGCACTCGAGGGTATTTTAGCAACTTCTCCCAGGCCTCCCGGCAGGACCTCTCCCAACGTTGGGTGAAAATGCGTTGGGTGCCTGCCGACCTTCGTATGGGCATGTATCCGAGCCTGGTAGAGTAGCTAAGGATATTGACACAGCGGTCGATTCTGCCCGTTGCTGTTGGGATCTTCCATGCCCATTCTGCTGGATCAAATTCCAGCTTGTGGATGGCAGTGCCTGGCTCGTAGATTCTGTAGTCCTCATCTTCTACCACCCTCACTTTTCTGAGGTGGCAGAATTTGGTGACCAGTTGAGCACGGCAAGTTTTGGCAGCCGCGCTGACCGTCTGGCCGGGCTACTCTATGTCGTACATCCCCATCTGGGCCCGCTCCCCTCTCGGGGGGCCACCCTTTTCATGAAGGACAGCACCACCGAGGGGGGGTCCTCCCAGTCTCCAGTGGCTTAATCCCCAGATCCCCAGGCAAGAGTGGCAGCAAGGAGTATCTGCCATTGTGGAGGGATGGACTGCAGCAGTTCATTGAGATTCTGCTGCTGGTTATGGCTTTCCTTGAGCACCTCCCTCAGTTCCATCATGTGTTGTTGACACGAATACCCTTACAAGGGTATTTGTGCGTATTTTTTTGTCTCACATGAGACACATCTTTGATGATACTTGAGAGAGTAGCACATCTTTGCGCAGCCCTCAACCGACTCGCAGAAGTCAGGATGGTGAGCGTGCATCTGGTCAGATCAGAGAGTGTGTAAGCGTGCATTTTGGGGGCACGAGCGGTTTTGGACAGACATGTGGTGATTTAGTGAACTGATGCTGTAATTAACGACCTCGCGCAACAGTGCGAGTTAGGGAGGAATTAAAATTTTGATAAGTAGCGGGCGCACACTGAGTGCGCTTGCACAGAGACTGACATTTTGATGGTCGGCGTCAAGGTTAGTTATCGGAACTGTGGTCCCAGGTGAATTTTGTGGACTTACCGGAAGCGGCGCTTGGGTCCACGTAGTGTGAGGTGCGTTGAATACTCAGGTTGGCCATGTTTTGGTCGGTAGTAGAGGCCGCCAACGACCTTGGAAAGGTTGGCGGGAGCAGGGTGTGGTATGAGTAAAAGTCGGGGTTTCCCGACACCGAAGTAGTAAGAAGTGCGGCCTTTTGGGGGAGTGGCCAGTTAAGAGAGCCGAAATACTGGGCGGCTGTGCCACTAGGACATATGTGTGGCGGCAGCGGGCAAAGCCGGCCCCTCCAAGCAGCAAGTGCAGGTGTGTCATGATCGTGGGAGTGGCCGGTCGGCCAAGGTATGGCCTTCAGTACAGGTGGACAGGCCTAGGCCCAGGACGAATACCTTTTATGAGGAAGCTCACACCTACTACACCTGACCATGGGCTTAGCACTATAGGTTATGACATTTGACTAATAAGCTGCAAATACGAGGATTGAGGCCAGCTACTGGCGACGATGGAGCTGCGGAGCAAGATTGAAGAAAGTCGAGGGGTTGAGGGTCCTATGGACTATCCCCCTTGGTTTTTGCGAATGATCCCGATCACGGGCCCATCTGGCGGAACTAAGAGAGTGCCAACGAGTCCCCCCCCAATGACCTTGGATTTTTCCTTCCTTATTTCGGTACTATTTATCTCTATAGAGTCTATACTCTTTAAAACAACAACGGTCCCACCGTAACGGGCAGACGCGGACCCAGCAAAAATCAATTCAGGCCCGCGCCGTCCCAGCAGGGGGCCCGAGGAAGGGACAGGCTGGGACCGGGGGCGACGGTTGCCGACGCAGGGAAAGGGTGGGGACACGCGGAAAGAATTTGTGCGCGGGCTGGGACTAGAGGCAACGGTTGCCAACGCGGGGAAAGGGCGGGGGCGGGCTGACGAACGGACGCGAAATGTGGCTGTGTATATTTCCATGCTCTAGCGGAAAATTCATCCGATTTTGCTCATCCTATCCTTGGAAGTAGCGTGAGGCCAGCCTCTCTCTCACAGACACACACACACACACACTGCGACGTGTTGTATGATCGAGACAGGGGACGTGTGTGCCGAGGGACGAGGGCATGGAACGAGATGTGCTGCTTGATGGAGGAGGATAGAGGATAGAGGCCAGAGGAAGAGGAAGGAGCGTGGCGGCTATGGATCGTGAAAGGGAGGACATGAGAGAGAGAGAGAGAGAGAGAGAGAGAGAGAGAGAGAGAGAGAGAGAGAGAG